AAGAAGAAGAAGAAGAAGAAGGCTAATTTGGGAAACTCAGGACACAGGGACACCAGGTTCAGCTAAGCACTTCAGTACTGTGTTAAAAAGAGGTATATGTGTGCTGCCCCCTCCTTGTGAAGAAACTTGGAGATAGACTTGTACCTCCCACCTAGGAACATGAAAGGAATTCTGCCCAGAATAAAATACCTAGAGATACAGTTACCTGGACAGTTAGAAATTCCCCCCAAATCTCCATTCCATCATTTTAACAGGCTATCAGGAGGGAGCAACATGAAAAAGACAATTTTTCCTTTTAAACAAGATACAAAAGAGCTCCTTTACAAAATTATCTGCATCATGTATAATACACATCCAGCAGAAATTGCCTGTGCTAGAATTCACTGAGCTCAAGATAGGATTGTATTTGTTTCCAGGTTGAGTTTGGAAGTTAGAAAAAAAAATTTTTTTTGACTAACAGATAATCACAGTGAGAGAATAATAATAATGATGACGATGGTCATAATAATAACTACAGAGACAGTTAGAAATTCCCCCAAAAGAAACATCTCACTAATAAGCATATCCATGCTTACAGTGAACATTTTTAATGCATCACTCTTAAGTATGAAGGAACAATCATTGACCACCAGACCTTAAGAAAACTTTTACATTGACAGGCAAAGAAAAAAAAAAAAAAAAAAAACAGTGCAAGAACTCAGGGGAAACAAAAATATGTGGTAAACAGAAGGAAATATAAATATATACATAATGTCACAGAAATAACAGAAGATATACATCCATAAAACAAGGAGAGAATAGAGTATAAAATAGCTGTTTTATCAACAAAAATGGTTTTTAACTCTAGAAGAGAACCCAGGCAATACCATTCAGGACATAAGCACAGGCAAAGATTTCATGATGAAGATGCCAAAAGCAATTGCAACAGAAGCAAAAATTGACAAATAGGATCTAATTAAACTAAAGAGCTTCTGCACAGCAAAAGAAACTATAAACAGAGTAAACAGACAGCCTACAGAATGGGAGAAAATTTTTGCAATCTGTGCATCTGACAAAGGTCTAATATCCAGCATCTACAAGGAACTTAAGCAAATTTATAAGAAAAAAACAAGCAACCCCATTACAAAGTGGGCAAGGGACATGAACAGGCATTTCTTAACAGAAGACATACATGCAGCCAACAAACATGAAAAAAAAAAAAAAAGCTCATCACTGATCATTAGAGAAATGCAAATCAAAACCACAATGAGATACCATCTCATACCAGTCAGAATGACTGTTAATAAAAAGTCAAAAAATAACAGATGCTGGTGAGATTGTGACAAAAAACACTTTTACACTCTTGGTGGGAGTATAACTTAGTTCAATCATTGTGGAAGATTGTGTGTGGCAATTCCTCAAAGACCTGGAGACAGAAATACCATTTGTCCCAGCAATTCTTTTACTGAGTATATACCCAAAGGAATATAAATCATTCTATTATAAAGACACATGCAGATGTATGTTTATTGCAGCACTATTCAAAATAGCAATCATGGACATGACATGAAATTAACCTAAATTCTCATCAATGGTAGACTGGATAAAGAAAATGTGGTACAATGCAGCCATAAAAAGGAATGAGATCATGTCCTTTGCAGGGACATCGATGGAGCTGGAGGCCATTATCAAACTAATGCAGGAACAGAAAACCAAATACCATATATTGTCACTTATAAGTGGGAGCTAAATGATGAGAACACATGGACACACGGCGGAAGCAACGCACACTGGGGCCTGTCAGAGGGTAGAGGGAGGAAGGAGGGAGAGGATCAGGAAGAACAGCTAATGGATGGATGGGCTTAATACCTGGATGATCTGGGCAGCAAACCACCATGGCACACATTTACCTATGTAACAAACCTACACATCCTGCACATATACCCCTGAACTTAAAATAAAAGTTGGAATTATTTTTAATGGTTTTTACCCTATCTGTAAAAGTGAGAGTAGAATGTTAAAAATGTAATAGAAAGGTTGTATGATATTATCAGGTTAGGATCAAGGGGAGGTGAATCAGGTGAATTATATAGGTGCAGGGTCAGATCCTGTTTTTATTTAAAATTTCTATTTTGTTCAACATAATTTTTACGTTAATTTTTTTAAGTACTATATTAAGCCACTTTTTTTTATTAATGAGTTTTTTGGGGCTTGCTTGCATTTTGCACCCAAGGGTTGGCCTTCACTATCCTCACCCTTATCCTAGACCTAGATATGGTTGAGCAAATCTCCCAGAAAGTAGAAACTAAAAGAAACAAACCACCACCACAAAAGAGACAAACAAAAATAGACAATATAGGAGAGAAAATTTAAGAAAATTAGAAGATAAATCTAGCAAATTAAATATCTAAATAAAAGGAATTCCAGGGAAAGAGAAGAGAAAAAACCAGAGGGACTGGAATCATCAGAGAAATCATAAGAGAAATCTCCTAGAAGAGCAAGATGGGAGTCTCCACACTGAAAGAACTCACCAAGTACCCAGTGCTGGATAAATACTCATACCAAGGTGCATCAGTATACATTTTCAGAGAACTAGAGACATAGAGAAGATCCTATAAGCTTCCAGAGAAAACCCACAGATCACCACAGAGCATCAACCACCAGAATGCCATCAGCCTTTGTAGCAGCAATACTGGAAGCTAGGAGACGCAGAGTGATACCTTCAAAACTCTTTGAATATTACTTTTGCACCTAGAATTCTAGACCAGGCAAACTGTCAGTCAATATGATAGTAAAATTAAGACAATTTCAGTCATGCAAAGTCTTAAAAATATTACCTCTCCCATAACTTCAGGAATTAATTGAAGAATGTGCTCCACCAAATCAGAGGAAATAAACTAAGAACAAGAAGGGAAAAAAAAGGAAGACAAGCATTCCAGAAAACAGGGGATTTGACCCTGGAAGGAGGTGAAAGCATCCTGAGCTGATGATGAAGGGAGACCTGAAGATGTTGGCTTTCTGAGCAGCGGTCCTCAGGAGCAATCAGTTCAAAGCAGAGCAGGAGGCCCCAGGGAACCAGGAGGATGGCTCCAAGAAGAGGATAAGGTTCATCACATCTGTGGTGTGTTTAAACATACTGACAGCAGAGAAAGAGCCTCTTTATCTAACCAAATATTGTTAACATTATACTGACAGATAAGGAGGGAGAAAGGTATGGAGGAGGAGTTGGGCAGGTGGGTGGTGTAAGAGAATAAATCCTCATCATCCACAGTAGGAAATCAAGAAATGATGGCCAAAAATATATCCAAAAGAGCAAACAGCATATGATTCAGAAATAAGAAGGCAAGTGGCCAGGCGCAGTGGCTCACCCCTGTAATCCCAGCACTTTGCAAGGTTGAGGTGGGCGGATCACCTGAGGTCAGGAGTTCAAGACCAGCCTGGCCAACATGGTAAAACACCATCTCTACTAAAAATACAAAAAATTTAGCTGGGCATGGCGGTGGGCGTCTCTAATCCCAGCTACTTGGGAGGCTGAGGCAGGAGAATCACTCGAACCCGGGAGGCAGAGGTTGCAGTGAGTTGAGATCATGCCATTGAACTCTAGCCTAGACAATAAGAATGAAACTCCGTTTCAAAAAAATAAAAAATAAGGAGGCAAACACAGAAGAAAGATCTGGGAAGTGAGAGATGGAGATGAGGGAGAGAAGACTGCGGTGGTCCCAGGGACTCTTTCAACTATAAGTGGGTAAAAGCTCCATGACAACAATTTTTCAAGGATTTTGGCCTCTTACCTTTGTTACATCTATCTGATCTGACCATTCTCTGTTGAGGGACTCAGTGCAGTCACTGGTAGCGTGATGTTTAATGGATAGTGTGACATGGTAATAGCAGTAAAACATCACTGTCAAGGGCACAATAAAATTTATCGCAATAACCGTCATGGTGTAAGACACAAAAGATCTGAAAATAAGAAAAGGCAATCATGATTGCTCATTTAATGTCCTAAGCGGGGAAAGGGGAAAGAGGAGATAATTATTAAAAATAATATTGGTAGTCACTGTATTGTTAAATAGTTTAAGAAGTGTATTTGACTTTTAGTTCATTTAGGCCAGAAATTGGCAAACTATGGACTGTAGGCCTATTCCAGCCTATTACTCATCTTTGTAAATAAAGTTTTATTTGAACACAGCCATGTGCCCTCATTTACATGCTGGCTATGGCTGCTTTTACAGGATGATGACAGAGTTGAAGAGCTGTGATAGAGACATCTGGCCTATAAAGTCTAAAGTATTTACTTTTAATTGCTTTCAAGACAGAATCTTGCTCGGTCACCCAGGCTGGAGTGCAGTGGTGCAATCATGTCTCACTGTAGCCTTGAACTCCCCAGCTCAAGCCAATCTCCATTTTAGCCTACCAAGTACCTGAGACCACAGGCATGTACCACCACAGCCAGCTAAATTTCCGCCCCCAACTTTTTTTTTTTTTTTTGTAGAGACAGAGTCTCAATATGTTGCCCAGTCTGGACTCAAACTCCTGGGCAGAAGTGATCTTCCTGCCCCAACCTCACAAAGTGCTGGGATTACAGGCATGAACCACTGTGCCCAGCCTTTACTTTTTGAATCTGCAGAAAAAATTTTAGATTTAGATCTGGTTTGAGATTTAGAAATTTTCTGTTCATTTTTAAGTCATCTTTCATTTCCTTTAATGAACTAAAATATCCTCTTGTTCCTGGAAAATATATAGAAGCCTCACTAACTAGCAGGTAAATCTTTGCAGTGACTGTACTTTTGATATGCAGTTCTCAGAATGTGCTTGGACACCAGACCATCTTGAAAAGACAGCAGGGAGGCAGCTTGTGCTTTTGCCAGAGCCGCACACTCTATCTAGCTTCACTAACCCTTTTCCTGCTCATGATCCTACCTTTGAGATGTGCAAATATTGGAAGGGTGATTGGTACCCTGCGTTGCTGCTTTAAGAGAGAACACAGGGGAGGGAGGAAGGAATGGGGTAAAGGAGACACAGTGAGGTGGATGACCTTTACTTGCAAACAAGCATAAGTCACTTTTCTCAATTCCGACTTTTGCTAGAATCACATTATCACTACCGAGGAAGCACTTTGCCACCTTCTGTATGAGGAACACATGATCTGAGCTTAAATTTGAAGGGGTGAGAAAATGTCTACACTAGAAGCATTTGATTATAAAGTGTAAACTTCTCTCTTACCTATCATTTTTCCTCCAGTTTATGGTACAAGTAGCACCAGTAGGATCTGGGGCATAACTAGCCCACCCTATGATAGGCATCAAAGCCCAAAACAGGCCATTGACCCAGGCTCCCAGAATCATGCCAATGTAAGTGTTGGTGGTCATTCTTCTCCCTATTATCAAGCATAGGAAATATTAGCAGCGTTTGTCATTAATGGGACTCACTTTTTTAAACTTGCTTGATTCACAAGTGTTATCAAGTAGATTCTTTACAGAGCACTTTGGCGGGCCTCAGGAGCCAAAACATGCATGCAACGCCAAATAAAAGTAACAAATATGTTCTCCCTTTTTACCAAGCCTATCTACATAAGTTCACATTCTGGGAAAAAAATGACATTTAAGCTGAAACCTAAATGAGAAAAGAATCAGTCAGAGGATAAGCAGGAAGAGTAGCTTTCCAGACCTAGCAAAACAGTGGATACGAAGACCTCACTTTGGGCTTGGTCCATACCTCAAAGTGTGAATGACCTTATGAAATTTGGATTTTATTCTAAGTACGATAGGAAGCCATTGAAACATTTGAACAATTATTGCCAGAGAAATAAAACTGACCCTAACTACAAACCATTAGGTTTATATTTTAGCGTATATATTGAGTGGCCATTAGTCAAGAAATGGATTCATTAAGAAAGCTGAGAAAAGTGTTGTACCTATGTCAGGAAGGCAGATGGTCAGGTATCGGTCCACGGCCACAACAGTGAGTAATCCAATGCTTGCCATTCCAAAAAAAATATTCAATCCAGCATAAACCTGAAAACCAAAATTGAAAATACTCTACCATTCTAAACACCCTCCCAAGAAACATTTAGATTTTTGTACCATTGTTAGAATATATCTCAAATATACTAAATGTTTTTTTACTACTTTAAAAGACATCTTCATTGTCAAATTATAACTAGTTTAATAAAAATTTATGGAAAGTATTTTGTAATTTCATTAACTAAAATGAACTTTTTTCAAAATTTTAAGACTTACAGTGAAATTTCGTTACAACACTCTATGAACAGAGTGCAGAACAACCACAAACCAGCAAAAGAGTAGTATTCAGAAGATGGGCAATTCAACAGGAGAAAAAGACAAACTCAATAGAAAAATGGCCAGAATGAATGGGGTATGCACAAAAGCCCACTGGCATTTGAATGTTTATAACATAAGACATGCAACCACAATAAATATTCAAAGAAATGCTGATTATAAGATGGCATTTTACACTCTTGAAAATGAAAATTTAAAAGTCTGACAATCCCAAGTATTAAAGAGAATGTGGAGTAATAGATGTTCTCATAATTTGAATAACTATTTTGGACAGCAATTTGGCTACTTCTGATAAAGTTGAAGATGAACATTCTCTACAACTTAAACCATCCCACTCCTAGGTAATGTGTCTAAAGAAACTCACATATTGCAGAAGGAGACGTATATAAGAACATTTATTGAAGCCTTCTCTGTGATAGAAAAAAAAATGGGAACAAGTGTCCAATAAGAGTAAAATGAAAAAGTACATTGGGCTATCTATGTTCATAAAATGGAATATTGTATAGCAGTCAAAATGAATGACTTACAGCCATATCCATCAACATGGATAAACCTCAAAAACATAATATAGAACAATGAAAGGAAATCACATAATGCAAACAATGTTATATCATTTACACAAAACCTACAGTATTCAGACAGTATCTGGTTTATGGGCAAATATATAAGATAGGAAAACATTCATGAGAGGAATAAGATTGAGGATGGTATGCCATGGCCTTCATCATTATCTGTATAGTTTTATGTCTTTAAAAAGGAAAACAATCTGAAGCACAGATTGAGGAACGGTAAGACTTAACAAAACTGGTTGGTACTTACGTGGATATTCAGTATTCACTACTACTTTCATTTAATTCTCTATAGTTTTTAGCTTATAATAGTAAACCGCTAAAAGAATTAGGCCAAAAGTAATATTTGCCTACTATCTTAAAGCAAATTAATATTAACTCATTTCCTTTTTAGTAAAAAATAACAAATACATTTAGTAACAATTCTCATGGAGGACTTTCTATAGGAAAAAAATTCAACAACATGGTGACTTAACTGTCTTCTATAATATGATTAAATCACTAAATATTGTTTCAGATGAAAGCAGGGTATTTCTTTTTCAATTTGCAATATGCACATTTTCATTTAAATATGCAAATCAGCACTCTTCTTTAGTTGAATGCTAGTTGTTTTGTTTGTTTCTTCCTTTGGGTTGGGAGAATTTTGAAAATATAACAATGGTTGGTGGTTTTATTTCTCTTATTAAACAATATATTGCTAGTCACTTCTGAAGTTCTTTTCTGTAAAAGTGCTGTGTCTATTATCCTACAATATCTTTTTCGATTTAAACTCTTGGGATTCTTTTTAGACATTTAAATTTACATTTCTTTGATCTGTTTGTTTTGCTTTCATTCCAATGATCTCCAATACCTGACAGCCTGCATATCCAAATTTCCAACTTCCATACAGATCTGAGGCAGCAGACATGGGATAGCCAATGCTACTGACCCCTATATCAGTAACAGCCAGGTTAATAATAATTGCATTTGTGGGTGTCCGAAGTTCCTTGTACTTAATGAAGATGCCCAGAACTATTATGTTGCTGAGAATACTTATCATACCTGAGAACACATACAAAAATATGATGCATTTTGTTTAATTTGAATGTTTCAAAGTAGACTCAAAATTAAATATTTAAGCCCCTTTAAAAACATAACAGATCTATTTTTGTTCATTTATTTGAAGAGCTCCTGCTGTTCTTAAAACTGCAACATCTTCACATCCCTTCTGTGAAATAGAAATGAGAAAATTAAAACACAAAGAATCTGCCAATTGCACAAGGCAGCACTGAAGGCTGGTTTTAATGTCATCACTACTGAGTGAACTGTCCTTGAAACTCCTTCACTGGCTTTCATACCATTCCTGCTGATTTTTGGAACAAATATATGATGGACCTCTTTTTGGCAGCTTAACTTCCTCCTCTTCCTTCCTGGGGCCTGGGACTCTTCTTTTTCCATAGTTGCCTTTCTCAAGCTTCAATTATCATTTTATCCTCACAGCACTTTTGTCACTATTTTCAGCCATGACACAAGCTCCAGTTCCACATTATTTTTCATTCAACTCATTGTCATTTACTAAGCATCTACCATATGTAAGATTATATGACTATTCCAGTATTTCTTGAAACTCAACATATCCAAATTCTTCATTCCAACACACACACAGAGACACACACACACGCACAAGCACACCCCTACCCCAATAGAAGAATGCATACTACAAGACTTGTCTATCCAGAGAGGAAGTTGAGCCAGATTTTTGGTCCATAGAGAAGCCTCACAGCTGATACCACCTTAATTAAGTTTCTGACTCTTTGCTTGCAGGTCCAGAACCTCAGTGTTGTCAGTGCCCCAGACTGGTTGCATTGAGGTAGACGGGTAACTAAACTTATTAACCAGAATGCCACTGTATTATTTTACACTGAGAAATACTGTTGAGTGTACTGGATGTGCATGTTTAACATCCCCTACATGCTGTAAAGGGCATAAGCCAGATATGGGCTGTACTAGATCCTAAAGGGGTGTGAGGGGGTGGGGTGTGAGTAGATTTCAGTCAAGAAGCTAGAATCATTACTGGACTGTTAGAGACTAAAGGAGGGTTGTGCAACAAGCAGGAATAGAGTTGAGTTCCCCATCGAGAAAAGAATTACTTGGTGATCGATCCCCAATTATTGTCAGAGAGGGACAGTTTCCAAGCACCAACATACAACAATATCAGCTCAGTAAAAACTTTTATCATATATTGGCACTTCAGTCAGAACTTCTGCCTTAGCCTGTTACACTAACCTTCCAGATTCCTGTTCTTTTCCCCTTCTTGCTTCTGGCAGAATCAGCTTGCTATAACATAGACTTAACCATGGTTCTTCTCCCCCCAGAAACTTGTAATATTCCCCACTGGCTGTGGGATAAAAATCCAAATGTCTCAACCTGATATTCCAGGCTCTTTGCCTCAATCTGTTGTCACTCTCCAGAAGCACATTTCTACACTTGTCAAGTGAACTCTCCATTCCAGTTTTTCCCCAGATACACCATGCTTGACTCATATTTCTCCCACTTGGAGCACCCTGCTCCTTCCCTCTGGCTATCCAAATGCCATCCATCCTTCAAACCAGTTCAAGCCCCTAAGCCTTCTCTTACCCACACTATCCTCTCCTCCCTCAATTTCCAAACTACTTGCTTATGATTAACTTAGTCTTATGTAACACTATATAATTTAACTGTTACTTTTCCTAGTCTTTTTGTGTAGATTTCAGGCTCCTCATGATTTCTGTGGTTTTTGAATATGTGACATACGCTTTATTTATTTAATAAGTGGGCTACAACTAAAACCTATATTGCTTAATTTCTATCATTCCTTCAAGATAATTAGAACACAATGACAGAAAATTTGATGAATCTTTGGCCCTATTTTTAGCATCTAGGATTGTAGCATGTATACAAGATATACTCCAAAGAATTTAATGAAATGAAGACTTTGTGGGCTAGCTACAAATTCAATGATTTGTTTTTAAAGTTAGATAAAAACAGTGCAGTAAACTGCTGCCTACCAAGTACGCAACCAGAACAAAGGAACTATAATTCTGGGAGTCTTACAAATAATGGGGGGTATGAAGTAAGCAGTTTAGCCCATTCTCTCTGCAGCTGTGCCAAGCACGCTGCCTTGTTTCCACAGCTGTAGGTCTTCTAATGGGTATATAATAGATCACCTAGTCATTAGATTTTAGTTAAGTCCCATCTCACAGTCAGTCTAAATGCTAAGTAGCACTTGATGTTGACTTCTCCTTCACTCTTGAAACATTTTCCCTCTTGTCTTCTGTGACTTCTATCCAATCTCTTCAACAGACTCTTCTTGATCTACTTCCTGGCCTTTGTTTCTCCATCTGTGTCTTATTAAATATGTGCATTGTCCAACCTTCTGTCCTAGACCCCTTTCTTTTCACATTTAACACATACTCTGAGTGATTTCTTCATACCCAAGGCTATACCCTGATACTTTTCAGCCTCCGGACACTCAAACCCATATGTCCAGCTTTTTATTGAACACCTCTCAAATTGAACTCAGAGATTTTTTCTCCTGTCTCAAACCTATTCTTCCCCAAGTGTGTTCCTATCTTGATGAAGAGCATCACCATCTATTCAGTAGCTCAAAAAAGAAACCTAGGCGTCATCTTCGATACTTCTCTCCTTTTCCCACAATCCCATCATCCATTCATCAATTCTACCTTCTAGCTCTTGAATGTATCTACTTCCTTCTGTCCTCACTGCCATTACTCCCTCCTCAGAATCACTGCAATGGCCTCCTATGTGGTCTCTTAGCTACCAATATAGCACATTTCTAAAATGCAAATCAGATCATGTCACTCTCGTTTCAAACGCTTCAGTGACTCCCTGTCACCTTTAATACTTACATGGCTTGTCACTGTCTGGTACTCAGCCATCTTTTTCAATCTATCTCTTACCCTTCATTTTACAGTTCATCCATAATGATTTATTTCAGATCCTCAAATTCACCATGTGCTCTTACCTCCCAGCCTTAATTGGGGAAAGGGAGAGTGTTCAATGACACAATAAATTAACAAAACGTCTGCTGCACTGGAAGTTGTAACAGTTTATAGGAGCCAAAATCTAAATGAAATATCAAATTAACCATTAAATAAAAAACAAAAAAATCTAAATAGGCTCTTGGTAAAAGTAACAAATGAAATAAATGCTTTCACTACACCCTTTCCTCATAGTTTTGGTTTTTATTTGCGAGTTTACGTGAGTTTTGTTAAAGGAGGAAAGTTAGGGGATTTAAAGAAAAATAGATGCTTGATGCAGGGGCAGAACAAAAGCATAAAGAGGTCAGATATGCTTTCTTCAGTGGATCCACCAGAAACACAAGCAAATAACACACACTCATTGTATATACCTTGATAAAGCTGACTCGGATTTATATGTGAGGGCTGTAGAACAAAAATGCCTGGGTTCAAATCCTGCTGTAGCTACTTAGTAGATGTGTGTGTTGGACAAGTTTCTTAAGCTCTTCATCTATATAAACTAGAGAAATAAAACTGAAGAGTAACTTACTGAATTAGTGTAAGGATGAATTATTCTGTATGTGTAAGGTTTTACAACAGTGCTTGGTATATAGCAAGTATTCAAATAACTTAGTAGCAGTAGTAAGATTACTATTATTACTACTGTTACAGAGATAAGAACTAAGTAGAATATTTTCTGCATGCTAATTTTGTAACCAGGTCAAAAAAGGATAGTTTGAGTTGGTTTTTTTTTGTTTTTGTTTTTGTTTTGCTCATCTACAAATAACTAAACCAAATACTTGTATACAAGGTATTTCCATGTAATTGTTATGAGATTTTCTCAGTCTTTTTTGCAATTACAAAAAAATTAGAACTTGTCTAGTACTTATCATACAGAGGTATTCAAATGAACAAGATAACACGTCACTAAAATCACAAAACTTAACTGAGGAGCTCAATTTCTAGCACTAGAAGTAATACGCTGAATTATAAGGAAGAAACTAAACAATTATAAACTGGGTATAGGATGATGTGTTATACTTTTCACTCTACTTTTGAATATGTTTGAAAATTTTTATAAAAGTCAATGCAAAAAATAATGAACTCAGTATAACAGAGTTAATTCTAAAACTCATTAAAGTTGAAAATTAAGTGATTACTCAATACAAAAGTTACACAATTCAATGACACATTAAAAGATAAAGTTTCTACTGTCATTCCCCCATCCCTTTTTTTCTGCAAACAATCCTTTACATCAGTGAATATGTGAGGAGGAAAGGGAAAAAGAAACAAATATTTGTCCAACACCTACTATATGGCATTTATGTGTCACTTAATTTTACTCCTTATAACAATCATGACAGGTAACTGATTCTTATGCTTGTTTTACAGATGAGAAAATGGAAGAACAAAAAGGAGAAGAAACTTGCTCACAGTTGCAAATATACTAAAAGATGAAATCCAAAACGCAAGAGTTTTCCAATAAGCATTCTGGAACAAGCTGAATTTTCAGACTCTGTCCTCAATGACAATATACTCTGCTCTGTCTTCTTAGGACTTTTTCTTTCCAGAACCTTTAAGTCCTTAGCTAAATTCTACCACCAATAACAAAAATATGAGGGTTATATATAAGAATAGTAAATGATGCTAAAAATACATTTTTGCCATGGTGCATACTCTTCTCCAATAAAAACTTTGACAATGCAGTAACCAAATACATAGGTTTTTATAAAAGAACTATTTATTACATAGAAAACTTTTCTCAGCCCCACTTCACTGCTCTTATGTTATTTATCAAAATTCAAAATAACCTGTGACAATAGCCATCACTAACAATGTTTTCACTTATTCTTTCACCCACATTCTCTTATTTGATCTTTACAGCCCAGAAATAGAATATCATCATCCTCATTTACCAACGAGCAAGCCAAGTCAGGATAAATGACTTGTCGAGGTTGGCCAATAATATGGAACCTGAAACAATGCATGCCTTATGCTGAAAACTTCTGCCTTTCTTCGCCTGTTCTAAAGAAAGATAACTGTTAATTAAACATCCATACCTGCCATAATCAAGTAAGTTGCAACAATATTGTGTTCAGTCTGTGAAAAGACCGAGCCATCTTCATTTTTAGAGTCTGAACTGTTGCCTAAATTATTTCTTAGCATTTTGGAGGGAAGATACCGAGACACCCTTCATAATAAGCCTTCGATAATTATGAACAGTTTTACGAGCTACTGAGGAAAGATTTTTCAGGACCAATCATTTCCACTTAGAGATCTCAAAGAAGGGCCTTTTCATAGAGGCCCTCCCTTAACAGATTTAATTGGACTAAAGAGGAAGGGATTTTAATTCCCAGAATAAGGGAAAAGCTTATTAGCAAAACAAAAAGAAATACCAAGCACCACACATTTTAACCTATTTGGGCATCAGTCTTCTTTCTAAGGAGATTATCAAGCACACACATCCCATTTAAACAATAAACAAACTCAGGAAATCAGTATAGGATCAGACTTAACTGATTTCTGCTGGAAATTAAGAGCCAGCCTTAGTCCTCTAAAACTATTCGGATTAAGGTCCCTGTTTTCTGTTGACCCTTCCAGTTTTTCCATTTCGGCTCCTTTTGTTTTGTTTTTTTTTTCTTAACAATTTAAATATTAGTAATAAAGAAGTAGTCTCCTTCCAACTTCCAAATCTCACTCTCCTAAAGGTTACCAGTATTGTTTGGTGTATATCCTTTCTTACGTTTTTCTCTGCTTATACATATATTCATACAAGTGTTTGAGGTTTCCTCCACTTGTATGAATAAAATGAGGGGAAAAAAATAAGTATATATGTGTATATGTATAATGCAACTTGTTTTCCCCTAAGGCTGTATTATAAATTCCAAGTCAATAAACTCAGAATCTAATAGTCTAATTTATTAGTAGCTATTTCATAGCATGGATATAATATGATCAACTCCACCATCCACCTGTTAATTTCCCCTATAGTTTGATATGCACATGAGTAATTAATATTATCTGGTAGTAATCATTGTATACTTTGCCAAAGCATCTGAATTCAATCACTGATATTGTAAAGTACGGAATAAAAATATTCTGGATTATTGCATTACAACCTGAAAACTAACCTGAACATATTTTGTTAGAATGATAAGGTATCCCTATTACCTTTTCCCCATATTCTTTATGTTATTAACATTATTAAAATCTGATTCTCCTCAGTTTCTTAAAATCAGTAAACATTAGAGAAATGCTTAGATGCACCAAAGTTAATAGTGTAAGCATAAAACAGAACCACTAGAGGGCTATATTTACCCACTTAGTTTAATTTCATAAATCCTAGAATGGCACAGGAGAAGCCTAAGACAATCCTTTTGCCTCAGTTATCTTGCATGTGTATAAACTCAAGATGAACAGGTTGATTTATCTGTCCCAAATCTTATAGCTACCAGTACTCACATTTTTATAAATGTAATGTTGTTATACTTATACTAGAAAAGCGAATCTCATCAGCATCGTGTCTTCAAATGACCCTAAAGCAATAAACATAATACCCAAGAGGAAATCACTCCCTTTAAAAAATCTGTCTTTTCTTTCATTCGGTATGCAAAATAAAACTTAAGAATTTCTGAATTTGCTTTGGGTCATACTACCTTTCTTTTCTATAATAAGTTATACCTAGTTGTAGCATCCATGACAACGTTTCCAGAAATAATTATTCTAAAAACTGAGAAATATGTAGTTTCAGATAGTCACCTTTCTGCTGCAGATGAAAATTTCGATATGAGGTATGTGCACTCGAAGTTCTTTTTTATGCTTCCTTCATGGGTGATACAGAAAAGCTATATTGGGATAAGGCTTAGAAATACATGTGAATTTGATTCAAAATGAATGCCTCAAAAAACCCAGAAACTAGGCCAGGTGTGGTGGCTCACACCTGTAATCCCAGCACTTTGGGAGGCCAAGGCAGGCAGATCACCTGAGGTCAGGAGTTCAAGACCAGCCTGACCAACATGGATAAACTCCGTCTCTACTAAAAATACAAAATTAGCCGGGTATGGTGGCACATGCCTGTAATCCCTGCTACTCAGGAGACTGAGGCAGGAGAATCGCTTGAACCTGGAAGGTGGAGGTCGCAGTGAGCCAAGATTGCATCATTGCACTCCAGCCTGGGAAATAAGAGCAAAACTCTATCTCAAAAAAACAGAAACTATAAGGAAAAAAAGGGAAAAGATGTGGAGATAAAAGCTTAAAGATGGCCAGTGACCAAAAGATATGCATAAGCTAAAAGGTAAAATCTCCAAGTGGTTTGTCGACTGATCTATACATTATCTCCATTATTGCCATTTTAGATTTATTTTTAATGTTAAAAAAAAACTGTAGAAATGTTGCACTATTATTATTTGTCCTTGGGACAATGCCGTCACCCTTTGGTGCTCACTAACATCTTTTCCAAACCAAAAGCAAAAACCCTGGCCCTAACACTGCATGAAAATTTCATCACCACAGTTTTAAATCAAATAATCTCCTGTCCTAAACTGTAAAAGCATAACTGCCTACTACTGTAAAAACTGTAATTTTCAACACATTTGCTCCTCATATATATTAATTCATTCTGCTGCAATTCCATCAATCAAAAAAAGATAAAACCCCAAATACTGACAAAGACAACACTGTATGCTCCTGAAATGAGCATTCAAGAGCATTCCTCCATGAGCATGTTGATAATTTAACAAATGATACAGAAACATCATTCCTTCTGAGAAGTGAAAAATGAATGGCAGGGTAAATGGCTATCACATCATTCTAACTTGCTACCACAGTCATTTCTTTACATTCACTAGCAATGGTGACCAAAACTAATTTCATTTTTAACATCCTTACCCAGCAATCTGAACATGTAGTATGCAATCAAATATTCACGTGTAGTCAGTAACACCTTAAACTTTTAGAGTCCCTTTAAAAAAGTAAAAATAACATTCAGTAAAACTTTTAATATTCATGTTGGATGAGAAAAAGGAACTGCTTTTTAAAAATTTCTTGCTACAGTTTTTCACTTGAACAGAGCTACTCCATCTTTAACACGTTACTAATATGGAAAATTTTTAAATCAATTATTAATTGCAATTAGAGAAACAGCTTAACTGATTTATGTATTAAAATACAAAAGGGAAATACAGAGCTATCTTCTCATACATAAAAGGCCAAGGTTTTGAAAGGGGGTGTTAATTTGTAAATACTCTTAAAGTACTGCTACAGCAGCCTATTTTTTAAAAGATCAGTAATACAAATAAATCCTTTTTTCGATCTGCAATTCACTGTGTTTAATTTTTAGTTATTCCTTTCTACTTCAAAAAATGGGTTTCATTTAATAAACACACTCTAAATAACTTAAGGGAATAAAACACTTTATTTTAAAAATTCAAATATGCTTCAAATGAAAACTCCCGTCCATTTATTAGGCACCCACAGAGTGCCAGGCACTGTACAAAACATTAGGAAGATTTGTTCATGCTCTTTTAGAGCAAGATTCACTATTCCGTTGCTTTGCATGATGCTAACATTTTTGATCCATTGTCATAAAATGACCAAGATCTTCAAGACTTGCTCAAGAACCAAGTTTCCAATCCACAGTAGAAACAGATCATGCAGGTTAATACAGAAGTCAACTGGTGATGTCTGTCAACTGTTTCACTTAATGTCCTCTTCCTGATTAAGAGAAAATTAAAGTATTACGGGCACAGAAAATGGATTTTTAATAGTATTATAACGTAAATCTCAAGTTTAAAATCAGCATTAGTTCCTATAATGTTTAGCAACCATACTTTACCAAATGTAACTGTCAGATTCATATATACCTTTTTTTTCAAATTAATAATAAAGCAAAACAAATTAGAATTAGGTTAAAAAACTGAAAACGCAAAAACAAGTGATATAAAATGAAACCACAAATTAGGCTAAGCAAAGAACACCATAGTGTTCCATATACCTGCTGGCAGAAAAAATTAAACTTAAGCAAAAACAAAATGCCAGATAATATCAATTCTAAAAATTAAGCAACTTAAAGATAATACCTACCTCTGAAACCACCACCTCTTCCTCCTCTGAAGCCTCCACCTCCACCTCCTCTTCCACCTCTAAAACCACCTAAAAACATTTATTAAATAATAATGCAAAATATTTAAATAGTAGATAAATAATAAACATTAACAGTTATTAACTATATAACCTCTTATACTGATAAGTCTACAAAGATCAATACAATAACTATAATTATAATGAATAAATATAGATTCACATATTTTATCATGGAAAAAATTTTACAAGACAAAAATGAAGAAACTAGTAGTTTACCAACTGGGCAACAGGTTAAATCCCCAGATTATTCAATTTCAATAAATTAGAAAACTTGTTACTTTAAAGTATGATTCAGTCTTGTTAAATGTATGATTATTGCCTTAGCTCTTGCTTATGATAAATACTTTTTGATTCCACTAAGGATAGTTTGATGGAACTAAGGCTTTGTATCCTAAGAACAACGGATGGCAGATACGGGTGCTTTTGTTCTGGGGGCACGATAATAAATATGATAGTTAAGGTTAACTGAGCTACATAAGTAAGATTTTTAAAAAAATAAGATAGTTGTGAATTTTTTGAAATGTTAAATGATACTCAACATCAAATGAGAACAGGGGAATCTCTATTTATCAAATTCTCAAGAAGGTACCCCTGAAAATTTTCCTACCTACGTGGACACAAAAAAGTACCTTTATAGAGTGAAATGATGATTAAATTGAGAGATGCCAAAATAAAGCATTCCTTCTCTTTTTCGGCTCCAGTAACAAAAGCTGTCTAAGCCCAACTTTCAGTTCCTCTTCCTTTCCACTTTGGCTCTGCCCATTACCTCATCACTCCCCGTCCTCCTACTCCCAGGGCATGGCAGTCTCACTCCCCAGAGCCCTGCTGATCACCTAGCTGCCCATAATGATGAATGTGCCAAAACCTTGGGGGAAAGGCGTACATCTAAACAGTGAGATCACAGCAATGAATTTATTAGTTCTTGACACGACATCAGAAGATATGCATTTTAATTCTGGGTCTGCCAATTGTTTGACTGGGGCAAATTAATTTCTGTAAGTCTCCATTTCCTCATTCATAAAATAAGGATATCATCTATCTCAAAAGCTTTTGATGAGTATTAAAAGTATACGGAAATTAAAAGAATGTATGACCAACTTTCAGTATGCAGTCTACACTCAATGATATTAACTAAGAAATTAAAATTAAGATAATCCTATGGTTTATTAAAATGCCCAAGAAAACATGAATAACCCAAAGAAATGAAGTCCCTCAAAAGTATACTTTAGTAGATTTTTTTCTTTTTAAGCAAGTTGTTGAAATGAAGCATTATTATTATGGACAATCTGCCAATATTTGAAAACAGCTTTAATAAAAAGAACCATAAGGGACGGTTTGCTATGTACAAAGCTAAATTGTATTATATTAATCAGCTATGACTTTGAAATTTCATCAGAAATTTTCCCCAAGTAACTTACCGCCTCTGCCACCACCTCTGCCACCTCCTCCTCTTCCTCCTCCTCGGCCTCCCCTGCCACCACCTCTTGGAGGTCCTTTCTCACCTGGAGGTCGAGGTAAAAACCTCTGGAGTGGCAGCAGCTTATATGGGTCTATATAAAACTGGAAAC